ATGCTCTACATTTGATCAAACTACTGTTTGATCTGAAAGGCCGTTCTCCCTTAAGACCCTTTCTGAACTCTGCAATAAGCACACACTCTCATCATGCCATACCTTGTGTTCATCAGAGCTGCTCAGCTGCCAACCCCCTGACTGCATCAAGACCTCACCATCAATCCACCACCAGTCTAATACTAAATGAACGGGGGGTAAAGGAACATGTCAGTGGTGATCAGTCGTCTATTTGAAAGGACTCGTGGTTTGATGGATAAAAAGGTTCAGTTGTTAACAGCGTTGCTTTGGTCAAAACACAATGCGAGAGACAAAGAAAACATTGGCTACTGTAGGAGGAACAATAATGGAGTTACACTTTGCAGAATTTAGACATTGCACATTTTCACCTACTAACAGTGGCTATTTCTGCAACCTAAAACTATTTCAGAGAAAACCCAATTTCTAAAGTATGTGAAGTTCTTGGCAATAGAGACGGAGTTAAATGGTTTCAGTCAATACACCAAAGTCTGTGCTCATTAATCCAGGTATAAATCCAACAGTGTTCAGTCAGGTCATCTGGACGTTTTTTTTTTTTTTTTGTTGCTGAGATGTTTCATCCTTCATCTGAAGGACTTCTTCAGTCTACGGAGCCCACCAAACCAAACTGGATCCCGCAAACAGCTCATTCCAAAAGTTTGCTGGTGATAAAATGGCCTCCGGGGCTCGCCTTCTCCCCCGTCAACTCCTGCCAAAGTGGTTCAAAACACTAAAGTTGATGCTCAATCCAGGTATACTGTAAATCCAACAATGTTCAGTCTGGTCATCTGGATGGTTTCTTTTATTGCTGAGACGTTTCGTCCTTCATCTGAAGGACGTCAATTTTCAATCATTGGTGACAATCAGATGTGGGTTTGGTTATAATTGTACATGAATCTATCAAATACTCATTTGTTCCCAAAATTGTTAAAGTAACACTGAAATCTTGAAATGTAATATTTGATTCTAAAAAGGAAAAGTCCAGATGTTTTGCCACTGTTACAATATGTATGGTTAGATTGTTTAGTTCATGAACATTAACAACTCAAGTAGCAGTAATAAACACTTGCTTACCAAATGCAACATCTGACACAAAGGCTTGGAAACTAACATTTCAGTTGGCAGTTTATTCTCAGTCCTGCCTGCAGTCCAAACAAAGAAACAAAAAACTTGTATAATGTCAACCTGCTACGTACATTTTAAAAACTATAATACAACTTATCCAGTAGATACACTGACCTGAGCTGCAAACACAACTGTCCAGTTATTTTATTTAAATCTTCTCAAATGTATTTTTATTCATCATTAGACGCAACCAAGTTATCAAAAAGCTTTTAATTAATAATATTCAAATAAGCCATAAATGGGGTGGAATATTCCAACCAAACAACGTAGTAAAGTACGCTGAGATCCATAATCTTGAGTTTTATTTACAGCACTCGCTCTATGTGCTGCCTCGTTTTTATGCTGATGTAAAGGTCTGCCTTTTTTATGACCTTCGGTGTAATTAACAGTTGCAAAACATTAGGGCTCGTGTTGCTTCACATGTAGTCAATCAAGTCAATGTTTTGTTGGTACTGAGTGGTGTTTGTCTGTGCTGGTGACAAATGAGAGTAGCTCAGCCCACCGCTGACAGCCGCCCCAGAGCTGCGATACTATCTTCAGCTCTTCTCCCTGCTTCTACAATTACTACTGCCTCTCTGGCCCCAGGGCCTCTGACACAAACACTTGGACACCGTGAACCTTGAGCAGACACACAAATTCATTTATGTGAGCTCATACTCATACAATGAAATACATGTATTCATTTTTTTTTTTGCAATTCCCAAAAACCATTGCAGAGCATCTTGTTTATGCATTGAGCTTTAGCAAAAAAAAAAACCCACAATAAAATTGTGTAAATGTTTCTATATTTCAAATACAGTATTTTACAATTGGATTTTCAATTCGACATGTGAAACATGGGTGCCTTTTGCTTTTTATTATTTACCAAAGAAATACAATAAATCTTAGAACTCCTTGCCTATCACCGATTTCTGGATTGCATTTCAGTTAACCTCAGCTTTATACCCTCAGTGAAACATTTGACTGGGATATGACCCTAAACCGATACCTTTCCCCACCACACACCTGGTTATTTTATCTCTCTCCGTTCCTATTGTTGGCCCTAATTGAGGATGGCTTGGCTGGCTGGCTGGCGGCTGACCCTGATCTGAACAATGCATACCTGTGGCTCTCACCAGCGCCGTGCAATTGTCTCTTCAAGTGGGGCCCTTTTTCAGTCAAGTCCCCTAAGGGAAGAACGCTCCACAATCATTCATCACTCAGTCACTCAGCCACTACAGGAAGTAGTTAACACGAGCGACCTCTGGGATGGCAGCTGGCAACGAGAGTGGAGGTGATGTTTTGAAGAGACAATGAGAGTATTAGCAATAACTGTGATACAAAGAGAAACATCAATCAATCCATTCAGTCACTGGTTGGTAGTAAACATCGCCAATGTTCTCAGACAGTTTAGAGAGAAGAAACACTGATATCTGTGTTGTACATGTCGAGAAATGGAGCACTTTTAGGTCAACTTTTGGAAACAACATTAGGCATGATTGCATGGAGTGTCACATGACCTATTGTAAATGTGTTGTACTAAATGAATGGCAAAAGATCAGTCATCTTGACTCAAACTGACTCCAAATGTTTATCTAATGTAGTTTTTTCTTTCCATTCAACCTTTATTTAGACAGGTTAATCCCATTGAGCCTCGAGGACTCATTTACAAGAGAGACCTGATTATTATACCTCCAATGACTATTTTCTAAAAGGTAAAAAGTAATTCCATTCAGTGATCATGAGGTATTGTCTAACAGTTGACTCCGATAGTTACATGCAAGATACTACCACTACAGTTACTAATGGTTAGTTTTTAGCTCAATACTTGTAAAATACACTGGATTAAACCCATTTTTTAAGCTCTTAAAAAGTTATTGACTTCACGGGTTAATCAGATGTAAATTCATGTCCGGTGGTTACTTTGTGGGAGTTTCATTGGTATACATCCAGTGGTTCATAGGACATTTTGCTAACATATGACTCCAATTAAGGCAAGGTTTTACACATAGATCTTGCACAGTCAAGGAGTGCTAGAAATATGAGTTTGGAAAGACTCAGCAATTATCACACTATAACTTAGCTCAATATCTGTAAAATTTACAAAGTTCAAGACATTTATTGTGTTTTCTAAGATCAGCTGGGGTCAGTTTGAAAAGTTAATCAGCTGAATTTGTACATTTAATTATTTTGTTCTAGGAATTTCATGAAAATCCATCCTGTGGTTCATGAGATGTTTTGCTAACAGATGCATAATGTACCCAATCACTCACAAAGACAAAAGAATTATCGCCTGTCTTTCAGTATCAGACATAAACATGGATCTTAATAATAATTTTTTTTTTAAAAAGCTGTTTGTTTAGCTCAAAAACTGAGATTCTCAAGATTTACTTTCTATTTAAAAACACAAAAGTGTCTCAATGCGTTGGTTGGATAGTTATGTCAGGTCATACAGGGGAATTACAATCAATCTGCTATCACACATGAAGAAAAGTTTTATTTGCTTGTGATGATAAAAAAAATGAGGAGGACACAGGCTGTTGGATAAAACACAATTTTTTTTAATTTACTGCCATCCCTATTGCTTCAGATAGACAAGCTGAGGCGCAGGGAGCACAGAGTGATTCAAACAAGTCAACACTACTTCTGATCTACAAATAAATCTCTCTGACAATAACAAAGAACAAAGGTGCAGACAAAGAAGTAAGAAGAACAGCGTTTGGCAACCATTAACATCTTGGAAAAAAAAAAAACAGAAAAAAGGTCAGAAGTAAAAAAGGGCAAAAAAAGTGCATTCTGCATTTTTAATAGTAAACAGCATCTCTACTTCATTATGAACTAGATAGAGAAATCAAACAAGTAGGGCTGCTACAACGCTTTGACGTCGGCCCCCGTTTTTTTGCACTCTCTCTAAGCTTTATTTATATATTTTTTGAAAGTGGATTTTGTCAGAAGCTCCGGATCTTTCTCTCGCTCACTCGGATGGCCTGCAGCATTACAGGGGAACGTGGTGCTCTACACGCTTTAAGAGTAATTAAAAGCGACTGAACAGCTGTAATTATGAGAAACGGTGGTTGTGTTCCGGGTCATTCTATCAGCGCTGCCTTTCATCAGAGCAGAGAGGCTGAGGAGGGGGTGGGGGTGGATGGGCTGGGGGCTCCACTGTAAGACTGTTTCTTCATATGAACTTCTTCAAGAACAAACAACTTGTAGGCGCCCTTACAGGCACGCACACACTAACATTCATATCTTCATGTAGCATGAGGGAGAGTGAGACAGAAAAAATACACACAAGCAAACGTACACCAAAAAAAAAACAAAAAAACCACATAACTCGACGACTGATCACTAGTATATTCCCATGGCTAAATGTATGCTCACAAACACACAGTTTCTCATGGCAAAAATGGCACAAGCACGCCACTGCACCACAAACATGACACATTCTTCATATTTTCTACTGGGTGACATTCAGAACGTTCTTATCAATGTCTTTGGTCTCTTCAGGCTCATTCCACTTCCAAACACACGGAAATCGGTTACTCAATTCACAAGTGAAGAATGCAATACCATGTGAGCAAAGTTACTTTTCTTACCATTCTATACTGTATTATAACACTGTGACAAGCTGAAAGCATATAGGTACTGTATGTATACTGTACTGTAACTGCAGAGGAGTCAATGCATTGGTAAAAAGTATGACTGGGTTACATGAGATTAAGCAACAGAGAAATACCGGTACAGAAAAATAAAAAATAGTTACACAATGGATGCTAACACTGAAATGCAGGTTCCCGATACGTTTCAATAATCGTTGGAGTACTAGTAGCTTGATGCTAAGTATTGCGTTGTTAGCATGTTACTGAAGCACTATGCAGAATCTACAGTGGTCTGGTTTCCTTCCAGCCAAATCCAAGTCGTGGGGGTTTGGGGGTGATGAAAACGTTAAGGTCCGCAAGGGTAGTAGAGAAAGGTGAAGTAGGAGGAGAAGGATGAAGATGTCCCAATTTCAAAAGAATTCAATCTTGCTGGATTCACATGTATCGTCAGTGGTCTGTCCTCTCAGCTGACATGCCAACCAAGCTGTCGGGGGGTTCCTCTGATGTTTTCTCCTCGGATCATCAAGCTATCCTTCACATCCTGAAAAAAGTACATGCACAATCATCAAATTCTATTTTCTTGTATCTCTGAGCCAATATTAATGAAGTTCTTAATTAAGAAAAAAAAAACTTTCTTTGGCATGAAATTGTGATTAAAATGTAGCTTTAAGATGTTTAAACTGTTTTGAGTCTACACAAACACGAGGTTAGAACTAGGGCTAGTGTTGTAACATAGTATTTGGCTTGTAATATTTGGTCCGGTACAAGTATTCTCTATTCTATGGCATTTTATGTATATGTTTATTTTATTTATTTAATGATTCTTTTCATACTTTAAATGTCTATTTACTGCTTAGGATGTTAAAACAAACAAACAAACAAAAAAACTGGGAAAACTACAAATAGAACTACAAATACTGAAAATGTGAAATGATAACATTTCTCATTAGTTTTACTTTTGATACAATGTTCACAACTACAACAATTGGGCAAACGTGTTTATGTTTGATATCAGTTGTTTTTATCTGGCACTGCAAATGATAATGACCTATAAGTCTATTTGCTGGGCAGTTTAAAGTATATGTTAAGGTTTGGAACTGTTAATGCAGTACATCAGATGGAAATTTCATATTCTATCAAATTCATAAACAGCAGAAGCAAGTTCGACAGCATGTTGGTCATATGTTATGGCGTGCATTAGAAACCAACTTCACACTAAAGGAAAAATAAAAAAGATAAATAGTTTGTGTAATTGTACATTATTCTATATTTCAGCAATAAATCAATAAGTTTGCTCTTCAAAAGGCACAGGTACTGTATTGTGTGTGTGTTGGGTGTGTTGTTTATGTAGTTATGGAAAACAAAAACCACTAATAGATTATGTAATAAATTAATTGTGAGTGTTAATTAATCAAAATTAACACCTTGTCAACAAATGCTTTGTGACCCAAGTACAAATAAACTGGTACATTTCCATGAATATAAATTGCATACATGTTGGAGCATGTTTTTAAACTTGAACATCTTGGGCCCACCTCCACAGCAGTGACTCCACTCTGTTGATGATGTCGGCCAGATCAAAGGGCAGAGGCATGTTGGGGTCATCCACACCCCAAAAGGGTCGATCCACTGGGGCCTCCTCGGGGGATAACGTCTGCGCCAGATTCGAGTGGCACCTGAGGCGACAGGACACAGGAAACACACAAACCCATTAACTCCTCCTACCCATCAAAACCAACTGGTGGAAACACACATCAGTGTCAGGGCAGCCGTCTCACAAAACCTTTAACTGGTGCTTATGTTTTGTCCAGAGAAATCACAATTATTAGTTGTTTTTTTAAATCACCCCTGCATGCATGCAAATGTGAAAACTTGGCATGTAAAGTGATTTATGAATAAAATCTTTTAGCAATTTGAGTAACCAGTGGTCTGCTAGGTGAAGAAAAAACATATTGGTCAAGCATGTCAGTCTATATTAACTGAAAAGAAATATAATATAGTCAGAAATGACAAGATGTTTAGTCAGTTATATGTGAATGCCTCTGTGTATAGAGCTCTTCCTAAAAACAAATGGTTTTGATGGGGAACAGCTTGGTATGTGTGTATAACCACAAAAAACTCTGTTTAATACAACTCACAGCTAGAATCACTGAAATAGGACCCAAAAAATATAGGTGTAATTAGTCCAGGAGAGAATATAGAACAATGTACAAAGTAGAACTGGATAACTTTTTCAGTTCTTCATATACTTGTTTTGTACACTTGTAAGTTTCAGTTTTTTTTAATACTGTAATTCTTTCAGGAAGTCTCACTGAACTAAACTTTTTTTTTTATTATTACAAAACTTTATCAATTTTACAAACAAGTGTCTACCAGGGGTATATTAGCAGGTACAAAAGTAATAGTATACAAGTATAGAAAAGAACATTTGATTATAAAATGGTACAAAGGGTAAAAAATTCTAAAGATACAAAACAATTTATTTGCAAGTTATATAGATAAAGTCACATAATTTTTTCTAGAACTGAGATGGTTTTCTCATTGAACTAAACAGATCTGAGAGAAACTGAGACAATGATGTCAGAGAGGAGTTTCCAAAGTCATAAATCACAGACGGTGTTAAAGTGATGCAAAAACTATTATGTTTACTGACTAATGTCCCAATCATTTATAGACACAAAGCAGGATTGTTTCATAAGAGTATCACTCACTGTTGTTGTAGTCATGACACACTTGTTAAAAACCAGCTTATCGTGTAACTGTATAATTGTTGTGAGATTAATATTTCCAGGGTCAGATGTAATTTCTCCAGTATTTTGAACCGACCGCAGACCTTGGCCACATCTTTTGTCCGACCTGTGTAAATATTTACTGCTGTGACTGTTTTGCTCTCTGCTGTCACTGTAAATCTGCGCTCCCTCTGCCTCTTGACAGACGAGTGTGACCCCTGACCTGGAGGTGCAAGTGGGAGAGGTTGAAGATGGCATTTGTATGGTGTGTGTGTATTGTGTGAGGGTGAGCCATGGCTTCCTGAGCTAAAAGAGTTTTATTCCCCACTAAGTCATTATGCTAGTGCCTGTCATATCTCTTTACACTAAAACACCCTAAAAACAAACAAACAAAAAATACCCTCAAGCAAGCCCTTCACGTGTGCACAAACACACAACTATTACCACCTTGTGGCCAACGAGCGAGGGAGGGGATGGAAAGGCACAAAGAGACAAAGAAAAAGGTATGGGTGGAGGGGGTGGGCACGTTATGGATGGGATGAAGGGATGTTAAAGTTGTTAGGGGACAGCCGGGGGCTGCCACAATTTGTTGTAATATATTTTCTCCGGAGCCACTTAATGTTGAACTGGCTCTGGGCCTAAGTGCTGCATTTTGGTGCGGTTAGCCCTTTAAAGAGCTGCTGCATTATGGTGGTGAGGAGCAGCATTAACATCCACTGTCCAATATATCTTTTGGCGCTTTGGATCAGGGCCTGATAATAGCATCTGTTAACATGCACTAAGTACCATTATGTAGCACATCACTTCATAAATAATACGATTAGGCGACCTTGGGGCTTTGCGACGAGCCGTGTGTTTAAATGTTCTCATCATTTATTTAGGGAGCGAATTAAAGGAAGCACCACTTCAGAGAAGGAGAAGGAGGACATGGCTGGCATATGAATCTACGCAGTGTGTAAGTGCAAACTGACCCAGACAGCGCACAGACACACACACATGCACACACACACTGTGAGAATCTGCTGACATCAGCTAAAAGATATCATTCAAGAGAACCCAGGCTTCTGATTGGGTCTGATTAGGTATTCATGAAATAAAACCGTGAGAAAAAAAAAAACACTTGCCTTTTTTCTTCTGCCCTGACTCATAAAGAAAGGGTCCATCCATCCATCTATCCATCCATCTATCTATCCATCCATCTATCTGTCGGTCCATCCATCCATCCATCCGTCCATCCGTCCGTCAGTCTGTCCGTCCATCCATCCATCCATCCATCCATCCATCCATCCATCCATCCATCC